ACACTCTATTGTGTAATCGTAAAAGAATTTATATTCTAAATAAATATTTTTATATGATATCAATTTATTTAAATTAATTTTTAATGAATTGTTACTTTCTTTTTTGTTATTCTGTTAAATAATAAAGAATTTTAGTTTAATTATTCAGTGCCTGTGTTCTGTAACTTTCGAATCGACAAAAAAAAAACGAAAAATTTATGTGAATACACGTATTTCAAATATATTTTGGTTAATTGTAATGTGTTCAGTTTAAAAATTATTTGAATCATACAACTAAAAAGTGGAAGACTCTAACATTTTAATGTTTTTTTTTTCTCGACTCGAAAGTTACAGAATACGGGCACAGTTCATATTTACATATGGGGGATCCCACGCAAATTATTGCAAGTTCCCCAGTCTTTCCAATCATTAATTAAGATTTTAATGTAGCATTTAAAAAAGTGAATAATCTAATAGTTTCCCATATATGCATATGGGAGGTGGCAAGCCCCCCATTGAAAGCCCGCCCATTTTTCTTTAAATGTTCACATGAATGTCAAAGTTCTTTATGTAAAATTTGAAGATTCTAGCTCTAATAATTTCTCAGATATATGAATTTTTGTATTTAATTCATATAGAGAGTTCCAAGCCCCCCCTGATGAAAGTCCGCTATTTTACCCAAAATGTTCAGTTGAATATTAAAGTTTTTCGTGCAAAATTTTGAAGAATCTAGTTCTATTAGTTTCCCAGATAAACGAATTTTTGTATTTAATACATATTAGAGTTGCCACGCCCCCTACTGTTAGTCCACGAACATTTTGTATTAAATAATCATATTGACACTAAAGTACCTCCGAAAAAAATTTGTTATATTTTCTCAGATATACTGATTTAATATTGTCCACAAATATTTTTATGGATGTCAAAGTTGTCCGTGAAAAATTTTGCAGCTTTTGCAGTTTCTGAGATATGCGACGTTTAATATTAATTTTATATGAGGGCTCAAAATAAAAAGTAGCCTACAACCTCTTCCAGACATGCAGAAAGATACTGTGAAATACAATTTGTCTTTAATTTTCTCTTCAGCTTCTTCGGTTAAGTTTTTTGTTATAAAGTGTCTGCTATCTAGATAACTTGGGAAAAGTAAAATGTCTACTCTCCCGCTTGCAAATTTTGCCTGTTAAGTTTAATTTTTCAATTAATTTACCCACATTTTTTAAAATTGCAAGTATGTTTCAATTTCTCTTCAAGTTTTACAAACAAGAAATCAGCTGATTATAACATTTTTATTAATTTTTAGTTGTTCTTCTGAATCTCTCATAATAATTATGTTATATTGTTTTATTACAAAATATATTGAAATTAAATAAGTTTCTAAATTAAAGTAATAAATATAATGACAATGACATCTTCAGAAGTAAAGTTGTTTTAAAATTGCCACCAGCCTACAAATACTTTAGCATCCCTATAGCTTTAAAAATGCTTAACATTTTATTTTTCCTTTTTTTATTTATTTTTTAAACTATATATTTTAAATAATAATCTACCTAATAAATACTCTCTCATTAATAATATACTAATTTATTTAATTTAATATAATTTTAAAATTTCATTATCATTATCATTCATTATCTATCTATTTTCATGGCAATTTACAAATCACAACTACCCATCCCTGTTAATCAAACTATCCTTAAGTCAATTGCACATAAAACATACATACACACTCATTCACACCATTCATACACTCTCTCTCCCATTTGCTCCACATCATCTCTTTGTTTTAATCATTTTTCAGTTTTCACGCAAATTCAGTACGGTTCGGTTGTTTGGTAATAGTTATCCCGTAAAATTATTAAAAAGTGTTAGAAAAAATTAGAAAAGTGCAAATATTTTTGCATAAAATTATTAAGAAACATTTACTTAATAAGTTTATGTAAAAAAATTTTAATTTTGTTAAGTAAAATTAGTGAAAAAAGTGTTTAAAGTTTGCAACAAATTGCAATTAGACGCCGGGCGTCTTTTTTCTTTTGTTGGGGTCGTTCGTTCCTTCGTTAATTCGTTGTTGTTGTATGTTTATTTGTTGCTTGTTGTTTGTGAGGGAAGTAAAATGTGTGTTGTTATTGTAAATACAAGTGGAAAGAAATGAAAATGTGTAAAAATAAATAAAGAGGGCAGTAAGAGGTTTTTAAAAGAGCTTTAAAATTGGCTAGAATAAAAAGCATAAAGTAAAATGAAGAGGGCAGTGTGTGTTTATTGAAAAAGTTTTAAAATTAGCTTGAGAAAAAAGTAATAAATAAAATAAAGGTGGCAGTGGTGTGTTAAAAGGCTGTAACCAAAGCTTAATTAATGTGCATTCAAAAAAAAGATGCCACTAGCTGTCATTGAAAAGCGTTAAAATTTTAAATAGTAGTCAAAAATAAAAAGCCAAAAGTTTTATGTAAATAAAATGTGAAAATTAATAAAAAAAAAATTATAAAATTTAAAAGTATGCAAATTAATAAAAAAAAATATACATATGAAAAAGTCTAATTTAATAAAAATATGAATATGGTACTAAAGAGTATTAAAGACAAAATGAAGCGGTTATTTTAATGGTAAGTTACTTTTTATTTTTAATAAACTTATAAGTTAAAATCTTATAAAGACAAGTAAGATTGCATAGCCGAATAGGCAATTCTATTTATGAAGATAATTCAACAAAATCTTGATGTATGATCTTTTGATGCGCTAAAGACAAAGGCTGTTGAAAATTTTTGAAATAGGTCCATGTTACACCTTGCCGAATTCCAATCAGAATCGCAAATATTTTTTTTAGCTCATAATTATGTTAATTAGAGTGTTATTCCAAAATCGATAGAATTAAAATGTATGTATATATGTACATAAGCCTAAACCATATTGCAGTCTAGTCTATAGTCTAGTCTATAGTCTAGTCTATAGTCTAGTCTATAGTCTAGTCTATAGTCTAGTCTATAGTCTAGTCTATAGTCTAGTCTATAGTCTAGTCTATAGTCTAGTCTATAGTCTAGTATATAGTCTAGTATATAGTCTAGTCTATAGTCTAGTCTATAGTCGAGTCTATAGTCGAGTCTATAGTCGAGTCTATAGTCTAGTCTATAGTCTAGTCTATAGTTTAGTCTATAGTTAGTCTAGTCTATAGTCTAGTCTATAGTCTAGTCTATAGTCTAGTCCATAGTCTAGTCTATAGTCTAGTCTATAGTCTAGTCTATAGTCTAGTCTATAGTCTAGTCTATAGTCTAGTCTATAGTCTAGTCTATAGTCTAGTCTATAGTCTATAGTCTAGTCTATAGTCTAGTCTATAGTCTAGTCTATAGTCTAGTCTATAGTCTAGTCTATAGTCTAGTCTATAGTCTAGTCTATAGTCTAGTCTAGTCTAGTCTAGTCTATAGTCTAGTCTATAGTCTAGTCTATAGTCTAGTCTATAGTGTAGTCTATAGTGTAGTCTATAGTCTAGTCTATAGTGTAGTCTATAGTGTAGTCTATAGTCTAGTCTATAGTCTAGTCTATAGTCTAGTCTATAGTCTAGTCTATAGTCTAGTCTATAGTCTAGTCTATAGTCTAGTCTATAGTCTAGTCTATAGTCTAGTCTATAGTCTAGTCTATAGTCTAGTCTATAGTCTAGTCTATAGTCTAGTCTATAGTCTAGTCTATAGTCTAGTCTATAGTCTAGTCTATAGTCTAGTCTATAGTCTAGTCTATAGTCGAGTCTATAGTCTAGTCTATAGTCTAGTCTATAGTTTAGTCTATAGTTTAGTCTATAGTCTAGTCTAGTCTAGTCTATAGTCTAGTCTATAGTCTAGTCTATAGTATAGTCTAGTCTATAGTCTAGTCTATAGTCTAGTCTATAGTCTAGTCTATAGTCTAGTCTATAGTCTAGTCTATAGTCTAGTCTATAGTCTAGTCTATAGTCTAGTCTATAGTCTAGTCTATAGTCTAGTCTATAGTCTAGTCTATAGTCTAGTCTATAGTCTAGTCTATAGTCTAGTTTTTGTCTAGCCTATAGTCTAGTCTATAGGCTAGTCTATAGAGTCTGATAATTTCTGGACCAGTTTCGAAATCCTTTCGTCAAATAAATGTAGAGCATGTGGAGAAGACTGTAAAACTCTCCAACAATTTCTGACCACCAAAATTTGTTCGTTTAAAAAAGCACATAAATGGTCGATACGAAAAGGTTCGTATCTGATATGGTATCTTTGCTACCTAACCTTACTTAAGAATATTTTTCAAATTACAAGCGTTTTTGTTAAAATCTCATGTTATAGAAAATTTTCAAAGAATTCTAAATTTTTGGAAAATTTACGAAATTTGAAATCCTGGCTCTTAAAACTCAATTCATTTGCAGTTCATTTACAGTTTGAGGGAGAGTAAATAAGTGAATGATACAAAGGTTTTTGGATACAAAATAAATCATTTGATTTTTTCCATTCAACTCTATACATTTTGTCCAACGCTTCTTCAATTTTTTTAATCCTTTCCCAAAAATAAGATTTGTAGAAGTCATCTAATAGGTATCTCTTATTAGATAATTACTTCATTTGAGTCAAATCACTTTCTGCCAATCTTTTTATTCAGTTTTGGAAGAAAATAGTCACTTAGATATAAATCATGGTAATTGGGTGATGCCTCATATGTGTAGATCCTTTCATTGTCGGAAGGCTTTCTTATACCTAAGAAGTAATTTAAATTTCAAAGCATTGGGCCAAGTGAGATGCTTATAGATACCACAATCTCAATTAAATTTTAACATTAGTCAACTAATACATACCAGTTGACATGACCACAATTTCCCGATTAAATGGACTTAATGGATCCGATAAAATCACTATAAAAGACCACGGAAATATTCGACAATATCTCAACTAACAGAAAAATTTCGATAAATTATAATTAACAAATATTTTTATTACTGAAATCTCAATTTAATTTAAATTCTCTGAAATTCTCAACAAATCTAAACTCCCAAACCCAAGGGGTTCCAAAAAAAAAATAAACAAAACTCAATTTATATTCACTTACATATTTAATTCATTAAATCAACAATATTTTATAATTATTTTACAAATAATAATTAACTACTTATTAACAGCTTACACAACTATAAATACATTCTTTGTAATGATAAATCTTGTTTTTAAAAAAACAATAATAATACTTAAAACTATAGTATTAAATAAATTTGTGTATCACAATTTCTAAAATCTAGTATTATCGGGCATTTTTATAAAATATGCTATTTTCTCTTTGGCCACTTTATAATTGTGTATCCAACGGCTGCCTTTGCGTAAAGAGCCATCAATGCCATCCTTCCAAACGCCTTGAGGAAGATAAACTGTGGAAATAAATAATAAAAAATGATAAGATTTCAAAAGACCTTTTGGGTTCTAACAAAGTCCCTTACCTTCTCTTTCTTCACTATCTTGCTCCAGAATAGGAGCCACAATCATTTCTTCTCCTACCGAGAATTCATCGCTTATACTCAAACAGGCCGGGTCGTGAGGATCCAACATCCATAAAGGCCTTACTAAAGGTAAACCCTCATTCATAGATTCACTTAAATATTTCAGTAATAAAGGTATAACATATTTCTGTCGTATGGTAGTCAATTCTTTAGCGATTTCGGTCATATAATCACTTTTGTATTCGGAGGGTAAATGATTAAATTGCATGGAAGGCATAAAGGTCATAAGTTGTAGCCAACGTATGTAGAGATCCTGTTCGGGTAAGGCAGGTTGACCCAAGGAATAATAAGACAACATTTTAGACATGGTTCTATTTAAACCATAATCTCCACCTATAGCACCGGGTAAAACGAAAGGATAACCTATGACTCCATAACTTAAAACCGTGGACATAACTTCATTTAAGCCCGACCAGGAAGAGTTAATGGGTGGTGTACTAAGGAAAGCAGGAGGCTTAGGAACTGTGCTGGCAGTAGAGACTCCTATGAAACCTATAGTCTCCAAACTTTCGGTAAATATTTTGGCATACATATCGGGATTATCCAAAGTCTGACGGCATTGATAGTAATGAGGCAAATTAAAGCCAGTACCCAAATCCAAATAGAAACTATCCACTTTATATTCCTGTTTCAATTTCTGCAGCTTCTCTTTCAACCACACCACCGTAGCATTATTGGTTATATCTAAAACCCCAGCACTAGAACAACTCTTGTAGCGCGTTAAGGCGGGTATGCTTCTCTCGGAATGTCTTTCATAGATCAATAGCTTCTTGCGTACAGCCTCTTTGAAATTATCACTGTCAGTACTAATGAAAGGTTGTATACTGAAAACGATTTTAAAACCTCTACGATGTAAAACATCAATGGTATCCTTTAAAGTAGGAAATCTACTGGGATCCACTGTAAAATCTCCTATATACTCCTGCCAGAATTCATTAATCAATATATGACCCAAACGCATAAAACCCATGCCTATAACATCTTCGGAATAATTATATATAGTGGTTTCATTAAATGAACCCGCAGCTGGTTGATGAGGAATTTGCCAAACTGGTTCTTCTATCAAGGAATGTAATATCTTCATATCGGCTTCTTTCAAACCATCCCATAAACTCTGCTGAGTCATTAACATATGCAATGATTTCATATCTTCTGTGGTGCAAATTTTATAATTCAACTCTGGCAATTCCGATAATTTATTAACAAAAGTATAATCATCATTTTTAGCTCTCAAACAAAATTCATTTGTTGTTCTATTAACTGCTATATGCAGCGGCGTATTATCACTCACTTGTATGGCTACACCAATGGAATTTATAAAATATCTCTTTATGCCATTGCCAAACTGATGTACCTTTACATCACCACTCGAGAAGGGAGCAAAATCAAAGTCGCTCTCACTCAAAGACCAATTCATATTACGCGTTATGCCACCACCAAACCAAAGACCATTATTTCGCTTTAACTCATAACAATCGGTGGGGAAATTGGCCTCATTTAGTGCCTGCCAATTGAAAGTGTAACAACGAAATACATCCATATCATGGAAATTCATATAGAGTCGGGCAATGTTATGCCATTCCAAACACACACTACCATCCTGTTTACGTTTATCTTCGAGACAATGAAACGGTTGTGTATCCATATTAATCATTTTACCCAATTGTCCTGAGATAACCTCTTCCTCGTCATGATTGAGAATTCTTAGAACACGATCTTTCGAGTTGAATTTGATTTTATCGAAGTAGGAGAAGGTTAAGATTTTACGCTGATAACCGACATAAGCAAAACCGATCTGAAAGAGAGAGAGAGAGTGAAAGAAGTGCGTCAATTATAAATTTAGTAAAATGAAATGAAAAGAAAAAATCTTCTGAAAGAGGGGTAAATCGAAATAAAGAGAAAAAAATCTTCTAAAACAGGGGTAAATTTAAATAAAAAGAAAAAAGTAGCAAGAGAGAACAATGTTTTCAAGAGAGTCTAATAAATCCAAACTTTTGACTGTCCATATTCCAAAGAGAAATATAATATGAAAGATCTAATCATCACTTTGCAGAGTATGGAAAGCTTAGGGTCTGAGGATGTTATACATGATGAAAAGAAAGACTGTACTACTGATAAGCAAATGCTCAAATATCGGGGACCAGTTTATCTTAATATTGAAATTGGCCTAATATGAATTGATAACTAGGAATATTGCCAACCACCTGGTACTCTCGTCAAACTTGTAAATCCATATAAATGATCTATATTAATATCCCCTTAAATATTACCATGAAAAACTATACAGTGATCTATTCTAAATTAGAACTTTTTATCTTCAAAATCTTTTCTTAATACTCACCAAAAATATCACCATAAAAAACATTAAAATCACAAAGATTTTAATTTTATAATCTTTAGTTTCACGTTTCTTTTTGCGTATCATGGTGGGTAAAGCCTGTAATCGGAAAAAAATATATAAATTCTTAATAAAAATCCCTCTGAAAATCATTTCTAAATCCAAAACCTACTTGCATTTTTTCTCTCAACAAACTGGCCAAAGAATTAACACTCGTTATAGAGGCTTGATTACTGGCCAAACTGTATGCATCGAAATCACTAGCCAACATTTCTTTGTCATTCAAACGCAGGGCCGGTAGAGGGGCTATCGAGGCTCTTCGACGGGTACGAAAACGATCTCTGGAAAAGTAGAAAATATTATTAATTAATTAGTTATATGACTAAGAAATAATTTTTAATTAGTTTTCTAATGCAAGTAATTAAATCAATGAATTGCATTTTTCTTAGAAAAATTATTTTCCGTTTTAGTTGGGTTTTACTTTTTTTGTAAAAATCTAAAATTTATATTCTGAACGTTAAGTGTATGGGTTTGTCATTTTTGTGTTTGGATTGTTTTTTTATAATGAGTATTTTAAAAGTCAAGATTAAATAAACACTGAGATGCTAGTAAATCAAATCTTTTATCTCAGCTACTAAATAATCTTAACCCTTTAAGGACTGATGATAATAATGAGTTTTTTAAATTGTTACAGTTAAAATAATTTTGACATCGAGAACATTTACAGATTAACCGGGACTAGAGGCATTGATAAATCAAAAGTCAGTTCACAGATGAAGTTTAAACTTGACAGTTCTAAAACGTTAGCACAGTATCCTACAATCTTATTTTTCAATATATTACTCAAGCATTGAATCCAAAATCTCACCAAATATTTAACGCTTATATAGAGTGGATGTGAGGATCCAATATTCATAAATTTTTTTCATATAATTACCAATTGCCAATTATAGAATACAGATTCTGATAGAGGGAAAATTTCGAAGAAACCTCAGTCTTTAAATACCGCCACGCGGTAGACAGGCTACGCGGTAGACAGTTCTTAGAAACCAGAACCTTTAAAAACAGATTAGTCTTCTGACTTCTGGGTTTAGGTATGAACACCATCATACCTAATCCCAACAAGAATGAAGTAGAGCAAATGATGGAGGAGATAAGTGACATCATAGCTAAGCAGGAGATCATATAAAGCTAATCCTAGGACATTACTAAAGATATATTGAATGAATGTCAAAGTGCTTTAAGTGAACACCTGCCGTATTGGCTTATTTCACGGTGGTCTTTTTCAACCAGTGGTTGAGCTTCTGTGACGACTCACCACCGCCCCAATGTGTATCTTACACACAGGTGGCAACTTTTGTACACTTTGCTCAAGTACTCGAGCTATCCATACTCTTGCCATAGTAGTCTCGGTGGGGAATGACAGGTGTCAATCAAACCCCTATAAAGGAAGAGGCAATCACTGGTTAGAGTCAATAGAAGGGGCGGACCCAACATCAGGTGAAAACACCCTATTGATGTTATGAGGATTGCTCCGTCCCTACAAACATTCTCATCATTCCGGAACCTCTTAAAGTCACCCTCCACACTATTCGGCAACAGCACTTAGGGATGTAATTGGTGATTCGAAAACAGAGATCTATATTTAATTAATCAGACTTATTTCAGTGGCCACAAGGACCTACTGTGATAAGTTGAGCATGTTTTAGAGTAAACTCCAACACACTCAACTATGAATGAAAATCGCCGATAAATTAGAGATTAAGGTATTACAGCTACGCCAACGTCTCAAACAACTCAATCCTTCTGTCATTCCGACATCACCACAGATACAACTCAGAATTCCTCTCATCCATCAGTTACAAGTTATCCAATGGTACATCCCACTTCAACGTGCACCTAGAAACTAGGAGCTTTAACAGGAACTTATCCCGAAAAATTTATATTTCACTGTGTATCAATACTTTAACCAAGCACCCTTCCCGCGAATTAGAGTTTAAACCACAGCCACTATGCGGATCCCGAAGGAATCTCATCCAACTGACGAACTAGGACAAAGTACTGCTGGCAACTGTAGCACCCGTAGTACCAGACTATGTGGTGCTCTGGTTCGAACCCACGTCAAGTAATTCCAAGGAGGATACATTTGACATCACCAGTTTATAGTCCCGGCAGACTAGAGGTAGTGGTAGCACCTCTTTATCCCGGTATTGTAGTTCACTAATTTGGGGTCTTCATTAAGGAAACATGACCCGGAGGGAGATATATTGAATCTTCTCTCAACCTCCGGGGTAATGATAATCAGGTACCCGGAAAAACTGAAGTCTAAGTCCAAAGCCAAGATGAAAAGCGCTCCCCGCCTACCAATATGCTGACAAAGCCAAGCCCAGCTTATTTGGATTGGCTTTGTCAGTTCTGTCTTTGTGAAGCCGAGCCGAGAATAATCTAAACGATGAAAAGGGAAAAGAGATGATAGGTAGACAAGAGAAGACATGGGTACAATATCTGCCATGCCATTATAAGTTGCCGATAATCCAACTAATCGATGAAAAGGAAAAAGAAACGTCATCTTACAACTAAGTAGACAAGAGAAGACACGGGTGCGATGTCTGCCATGCAGTATAGGTCGCCAGTAATCCGAAGTGCCAAATTCGGATAGACCATGCAATCGAACTTGTAGTTTATGAAGAAAATTTTCATTACAATCGTTACTTTCGTCCAATTCTAAAACGTTAACTAAACATTATTTAAAATACGACCTAAACTTTTTCGGGCTTTCATTCATAGAATACATTCAACTAGCGCTGAATCATTTCCATTCTGTTTACTGAAATTATGTCTATAAATAAAAATCAAAATTATAATTTTAACTTGTTATAAATCACAATTTACCTTAACAAAATGATAGATAAGATATCTGTACAAACTATGGCACTTGGTAGAATATAACAAACTTCTATTAGTGAAAAAGCTTAAAAGCGAAAAAAAGTTTAAATTTTGTTGAGTAAATAAATTTATTTTATACAGTTTACTGATTGATAATGTAAAGTTTATTAAGATTTTAATAATATCTGGCCCCCTTTATAAAGTTAATATAGGACAACTATTGCATATTTACATAAACGGAATTTTTAACACCTCTTTGCAAACATACATACATATATTGTAAATAGGTCTAATTTAAAACAATTTACATTAAAATAAAATTATAATAAAGAAAATTTGAGTTAAATTTAAACTAATAAAAGCATTCACTTTATTCACAAAAAATCGTATTTACGATTTATTAAGCATGTTTGATAATATTATCTAAAGATTATGTTGTAGGTCACACTTTAAAACTCAACAAACACTTAAGCAGTTGGCAACACTTCTAATCTCTTTAACATTAATCAAACCGAAGGACCATTTTTACCGTAATTTTCAACTGCTCTCCTCATATGCTTTAGATATATTTTAAAATTTATTAAATGAAATAAAAAAATAAACCTCCTTAAACCCATAAAATACAATTTCATCTCACTATTGTTAAATTTTTCTTTTTTTTATTATTATTATACATTTAATAGGAATTTTATAACACTTCAAAAAAAATGAGATAAACAACATATTTTAAATAACAATGACAACCTTTAAAATAAAATTTCATTTAGCAAATATAAAATAAATATTTATTTACAGTTGAACACTTCGCCATAAAAACATTTTTTTTATTAATAAAAAAATGTTGTATTAAAAAAAATTGTATAGTATATTATTAAATAGAAAATCAACTAATTTTTTTAGGGAAAAAAAGTATAAAAACAATTACAATTATTAGAAATTTGATGGAATAACAGAAATGTACACTGTCAGATAACGTGAAAGATTATCTAAATTAGAATGAAAAAAATAGAAACAATTACTTGTGTGCGGTTGAAGTAAAATAAAAATCAAAACAAGCCCAACAATTTTTTTTGCAACAACTATAAATTAGAAAATTGATAAGAAATATACATTTATGGAAATTTGTATTTCTACTACACTGAGAGAAAAAGTTTTTGTAGGCAATTAAAGAAATTAAAACTCAGAGAATTGAACTCCTATGACAGCATTAATGGGGGTTATATGTATATAATTGACATTAATCAGAAGGTGAATATCTCTGATTAAATCAAGTGACAATTTTTGTACTTGGTTGTGCCGGTCCACGTACAAGCACTTTGCTCCGAACTCCACCTAAATTTTTTACGGATTCTGAGAAAGCGTTTGACAACATTAAGGGGTTTGTATATGACTAGCATTAGGAAAGAATGTCTAGCATTAGGCAAGAACAACAACGTGAATACTTATCTTGAAGGCCATATTTCACGATGGTCTTTTTCATCCACTGGGTAGACTTGCGAACGGTCTACCACGCGCCCCTGAATGCTTCTATGAAGAAATCAGGTGACTATTTTTGTACTTGGTTGTGCCGGTATGTGTACAAGCACTTTGCTAAAGTACTCGAGCTATCTAATCCCTTGCCATAGCAGTCTCGTTGCGGAAAGACAAGCAGCATGAGATCAATCCCAATGCATACCCTGACAAGGAAAAAGCAATCACTGGTCTAAAGTCTATAGTAGGGTCGACCCCAACATCAGATGAAATCAATCTTACGCCTGAGGGTGACCACCTTTTTGATGTTATGAAAGATTGCATTATTTAAAATGCAATCCTCATCAACTAATGACTCATTCCAGTACATTCCTTAACCGCTTAAAACCCGCGCAACCACACTACTGAGATGACTCTTTTGCTTCGACAACAGCACCTAGAGATGTATTTGGTAGTCCGAAATAACCAGCCAATAAAACAGGATCCCTCTGTATGTAGAGATAACGTAAGGAAGGCTTTCGAAAAGTTGTGTGGTGGGCCTCAACCATAAATCGCATAGCATGAAACAATATGCATCCTGTTGAGATGTCAACAGCACCGAGAACTTCCCTGAAGTAAAAGGTCTACTAAATCAGTATTAGTCTACTGTCTGGCAGGGGAGTCTTTCCCGGAATGACAGACAACTACGAATTATCAACCTGGAAATTTCCCAACCTATACCATGCAAAGAGTAAGAGATAATCAATGTGTTCAGGAATTCAGCATAAGTTGCTCTGTCATATAACCCAGTGACATCTGGAAAGTGACCTCAGCCAAGTGACCAGCCGGGACAAAGTCGTGCGGGCAACATAAGTCGCGTAGCATGAAACATTATACATCCTGTTGAGATGCAATAGCACAGAGATCTACCCTGAAGTAAAAGGTCTTCTAAATCAGTATTAGTCTCGAGAATGAAAGGCAAATACCAAGCGTCAAACTGGAAATTTCCCAACCTATACTGGCGCCCTACTACGCAAAGAGTAAGAGATAATCAATGTGTTCAGGACTTCAGCATAAGTTGCTCTGTCAGATAACCCAGTGACATCTGGGAAGTAACCTCAGCCAACTGACCAGCCGGGACAAAGTCGTGCGGGCAACTGGCCAGATTCCCAGGTGCTTTGGTTTGACCCCATGTCGAATCATTCCAAGGAAAGGCCGAGGATACATCTGATCATCATCAGTTTATAGTCCCGTTATTGCAATATTGCCGGGATATTGCAATAACACCAAAATGAAGATTTCACGAAGGTAACATGCCTCCGGAGGGAACTAATATTAGGCAGCAGAAAAGCTTTGATCTACACAAGGGAAGACTTTCTGTGACTATTTTCTGGTGAAAAGTTGTGTATGCCAAGGAATCATTACTAGAACCTGACCTACTTTTGATTAAGATAAGTGATAACTGAATAGCAATAACAATAGACAAAGACTTAACCTCTTACTATATAAATAACAAAGATAAATTCCAACACAGAGGGCGCCACATTACGCTAATCTTTAAGCCTATTTAAAACATGTTTTTTTTTTTTTTGTTTGTAAAGTTTTTTTTTTTTGCAGTGTATTATTACCTTGATTATGAACCTGATGATAGTTTTTATAATAATTTTATTTAACGTGTTTTTTTTGCGAAGTTCACTTAAGTTTATTAACTTTTTTGAATAAATTTATAATACAACTTTTATATAACTTTTTAATGATTGAACAGCACACTTTTTTGATTTTCTTTAGAAAAATCTTTATTATTTAATAAATACGAATGACTCTGTTTCGCAAATCGTTTCAATTTTTTCTATATAAATAGCAAATTTTCGTTTTATCCACTTTCTTCCGGTATTTTTTTTACTAAAATTATAATTATAACTCGCGTCTCACGTAATTAATAACTTTTCAAACACTAAACTGATCTTGTTTTTTTTAGCAGAATAAAATAATTCAAACGAAAAAAACTACTACATTTTTGTAGAGTCACATTTTTTTTATAACGCTTCTTATCTGTCTCAAATCCACTATAATACTGAATAATTTGATTTGATTTTCTTGAAATCATTAAACTTACTCTCTTAATACAACACTCAGTAGTAGATAAACTGAGCATAAGTTAACTAAATAAGTAAATCGCTGCTACTTAGTACTACTAAACAGACAAATAACTAAAACTTAAGTAGCAGACAGGCGTAAATTATTTCATTTAAGTAGGAATACTATACATCATTTATCAACATATTTAAAACATCATCATCATCGTCATCATCGGCAATATTATGAACGAATTAAATGTATGTATATGAAACGCTTGAACGGCACTCTCTTCACATTATAATTTTCTTGTACAATCTGACATAAATACTCAAAATACAATTTTATGAATGGTGGGGGTGTGTTCTGTGGTAGTCTGTTATAAGTCGGAGAATAAAATCTGTGAGGAAATTATTTTATTTGATTTAAAACCGCAATTGTTATACAAAAAAATTATTAAATTCAACTCTTAATTTATGAACAGCTTAAACGCGCTATGATGAATGTTTAAGAAAGGGTGGGAAGTCAAACACAAATGCGTAATACTTGGACCTCGACCAACCAGACGGCCATGACATTAGTAAGAAAGAAATGCTCGTACACGAGGCCGATGAAGAGAGTCATCTAACGATATGGATGGATTTCGGAGGCCACTATCCCTAGTGCGAAAGAAGTGCAGAAAAGCAGCTAATCTCGCGAGATACAAGATCTCTTTTCGGTATAAATATTCTGTCGCTAAACATACGATATCCAGCGTACTTGAAGCACAATATCATATGTTGAAGTATGACGAAATACAGAATACTATTGCTAAAGAAGTCAGGTCAACACGGTGAGAAACTGATCAAAACCAGAGCAAACATGTGAACATGACTAAACCAGTGTCTGGAATTCTTAAGAACACCATCAAATAGACTACTGATGTACATTCTTCTAAGGAAGCGGCAAATATTGGGTCAATGGTGGATCAATGCATCCTCCTTGACATACGGAAGTATGAGGAAAAACTAAATATTACCTTTATGGCAATCAGATCAATTCTGAAGAAATACAGAATACGACTGCTATAGAAGTCTGGTCAACACGGCCGGAGGCTGATCAAAATTAAAACAAGCTTGTGAACACGATTAAACCAGTGTCTGCAACTGTTAAGATCACCATCCCATGGGCTAATGATGTGCATTCTGCTAAGGAAGCAGTAGTGGTCAATAGTGGATCAATGCGTCAAGGTCCTTGAACAAAATACCAAAAAACATAGCCAGTGATTTCCTCCTTGACAGACGAAAGTATAGGAAAAACTGAATATTACCATTATGGCAATCAAATCAATTCTGAGGAAATACAGAATACTACTGCTATAGAAATCTGGTCAACACGGCCAGAGGCTGATCCAAACTATAACAAGCTTGTGAACACGATTAAACCAGTGTCTGGAAATGTTAAGATCACCATCAAATAGACTACTGATATACACACTTCTAAAGAAGCGGCAAAGATGGAGTCAATGGTGGATCAATGCGTCAAGTTCCTGGAACAAAATACCAAAAACATAGCCAGTGATTTTCTGCTTGACAGACAGATCAATTCTGACTGAGAATGATTAGAACCAGGGCAGCTTTATGAACACGACTAAATCCGTGTCATATATTAACAACTCACAGATGCTTGATATGCTTTAATCTAAAGCGATCTCATCAAGATCAGGGACGGTGGAAGTTCAATGCGAACTATAGCGAGCATTAGGGAAAGTGTCATCTAGTTTGAACTTTGATAAAGTAGTTCAAATTGAAACTGACAAATTCTTCCTCAATAAAACGAGATCAATCCAGATTGAGAATGTTTAAAACCAGGGCAGATATATGTACACGATTAAATCGGTGTCATATATCATTAACTCACAGACACTTGATATGCACTAATCTAAAGCGATCTAATGAAGATCAGGGATGGTGGAAGTTTAATGCGAACTATAGCGAAAGTGTTATCAATGCTTGAACTTTGATATAGTAGTTCAAGTTAAAATTGACAAATTCTTCCTCAATAAAACGAGATCAATTCAGACTGAGAATGATTAAATCCAGGACAAACATATAAGATCAGGGAGGATGGATGTTCAATGCGAACTAAAGCGAACATTAGCGAAAGTGTCATAGGTGCTTGAACTTTTATATAGTAGTTCAAGTACAAATTCTTCCTCAATAAAAGAATTATTTAGATGATGTCTGAATGTAGCTATGAGAGCTTAAATTACTGAAGACCTCTGTGTTGTTATCCAAAATACAACAAATAAAAGTTTAAGTAAAAGATTTTGAAAATCTCTTGGACCATCAGTGATCTTAAGATCTTACAACTGATCGTGATTGCGCATTCGTTGGTTATGAAAAGTTTTAATACACACTAAATCCAGATGGTCCAGATATTACTATTCCTGAAATTAAAAAATCAAATAAGGACCATCAGTAATTATGAGATTTTAGAACAGTATTTTTTCATTTTTTTCTGAGAGGATTCTTTTACACAAGATCACAACGACAACCCCTATAGTTCCTAGCTTTTTACATAAAATAGATGGAAGCTGCTAGAATACATTCAGCATGTCTCTCTTTAAAAAGTAACAAATTTTTCAATCTCTCTATTAAACTTTGCGAAATTGAATCAAAGTCGGTGTCGGTAGAAAAGTCTCGAATACTCGAATGATCTTGTTGACTTTCTATTAGGGTTCTATAAATCGACTTTCGAATAATCGAACAATCGACTTTTTGTCGAAAAAAGTCGAAAAGTCGAAGTCGACTATTTTGTTCCAAAAAAGTCGATAACTCGACTATCGTCTATGAAAAAAGTCGAAAAGTCGACTTTGTAAATAAAAGTCGAAAAAAGTCGAAAAGTCAAAAAATCGGAAAGTCGAAAAAAGTTGAAAAGTCGAAAAAAGTCGATAAGTCGAAAAAAGTCGAAAAGTCGAAAAAAGTCGAAAAGAGTCGAAAATTTTAAAAAAGTGGAAAAGAAGTCAAAAACTCTAAAATAGTCGGAAAAACTCGAAAAAAGTAAAAAAGTAGTCGAAAATAGTCGAAAAAGTCGAAATAAATCGAAAATAGTCGAAAAAGTCGAAAAAAATCAAAAAGTCGAAAAGTCGGAAAAAGTCGAAAAGTCGGAAAAAGTCGAAAAAAGTCGAAAAGTCGAAAAAGGTCGAGAAAAGTCGAAAAAAGTCGGAAAAAGTCGGAAAAAGTCGATAAAAGTCGAAAAGTCGAAAATTTTAAAAAAGTGGAAAAGAGGCCAAAAACTCTAAAATAGTCGGAAAAACTCGAAAAAAAGTAAAAAAATAGTCGAAAAAGTCGAAATAAATAGAAAATAGTCAAAAAGTCGTAAAAAATCAAAAAGTCGAAAAGTCGGAAAAAGTCGAAAAAAGTCGAAAAGTCGGAAAAGTCGACCATTTATAAAATACTAAAAGTCGAAAAGTCTAAAAGTCGACTTTTAAATAAATGAAAAAGGTCGAAAAGTCGAAAAATCGACATTTCATAAGATGGAAAAAGTCGAAAGGTCGAAAAGTCGACTTTTAACTAAATGCAAAAAGTCGAAAAGTCGACTTTTCGTTTCAACTATAGAACCCTACTTTCTATCAACTAAGATGAAGTTATAACACAGAACCAGAGTAATGCCAAGAGTAAAGCGTAAGGTTACTAAGAAATAACTGTTTGAAATTACAAATTTAAAGTGTGTAGGGTATAATTGACTTTAAGTTTAATAAATTATTTTCTTTGTACACTCACAAAGTAAATTTTCGTACAACTGTCATCATCATCTTGTTGCTGGCGAATGTGTGTAATTTGATCTTTTCATTCATATGCCCGAGATAAAATTGAAGACATATTTTGCACTTAATTGAATTTGTAATATTTTGTGGGGAATTCTCTTAATAAAAAAATGTTCACATTTCAAACTTCATTGAATAGTTGCTATATTTAATACTTGTGATTTCTAATTCGCAATAACTATAAAATAATTACATTAACATTTAATTGCAGTAATAATAATGACTTTTCAATTCAATTAAAAACTAATTCAAACCTTAACGATTTGTTAGGAATACAAGTAAGGAGTTGCATTTCTTTTTACTTCGTATATATAAAAACTATGTCAAAATATTGTTAATATCGAAACATTTTGAACACTAAAACTCGTCTATGTTCTAAACAATGTCCGTATTGTGCAAGGGAAAGCTCAGATCTTTCTATAACAATAAGAAATGTATCAACTTTTTGCTGCAATTTGGATCTTAGCCATTTTATTGATATTCACTTTTCTATCAACCTATAACTTACCTTCTTTTACCATGTATTTCCAATTCATCATCGCTCTCCTCCTCTTCGGGTTTCTCACATTGAATAGTTGTGACATTTTTTTCCGGTACACTAAATGTAACCGAACCGGAAATATCATCAATAACCTGAAAATTATGAAACAAATACACAATTAGCTAAATAAGCCACCATTTTCTTTTTTACAAAATTATATATCTTTTCATCTTTCTCTCTCTCTCTTTCATACTTTATGATATTCGTATAAATACAATTGCACTATATCTTCAAAATGAACACGCGTAGTATTGAACATTTAAGAATTACAGAATTACAAATTTCAAACTTTAATTTTAAACAAAACAGAACACAACTAGATGTTATCACTTTAAAGATCTAAATATAACTGAACCCTTGGGCAGGGCATAAACATACATATTTCTGTCCTTTCTAAACCTTTAGAGAAATTTAAAGAAGAGAGGCAAGCAGGTAGCGGTTTTTCTCTTTTTCACCAGACAACATCTTGTGCTAAAGTAATACATGAAGTTTTTAAAAAATGTTGCTAGATTTTTCCAGTATATTCTTAGTAAAATAACTAATTTACCTGTTAATAGCATTAAATTAGCATTTTGTCGTGATAAATTTCAAATAATTATACGAAACAAAAATTGCTCATATGATAAATTACCTGATTTTGCAAAAAATTTTCATTTATGAAATGTATTT